CCCCCCCCTTGAGCCCCCATCCCTGTCTGTCCCCATCCCCAGACCTCCTCAAGCCACTGTCCCTGCCCGTCCCCAGATGCCACCAGCCCTGCCTGTCCCTACCCCCAGGAACCGCAGTCCCTGCCCGTGGCACCCCCAGACCCCCCCAGGCCCCTCCCCACGTGGCTGAGGCCCTGTCCTGGTCCTGCTGTTAATAAACGGTTTCGTTCATCTCCCGTGGCTCTGGCTCCAGCCCGTGCTCTTAGGGCAACCTTCTGGGGATGGAGTGTCCCAATGTCACCTTCCTCTTGGTGTCCCCATCTCCCAGTGTCCCCAGCACAATCCAGCTGGGGGTCAGGCCCTGGGCACAGGGGTTGAGGGAGCTGGGGGGACTCAGTTTGGGGACAAGGAGTGATGTGGGGAGCAGGGCAGGACCCCAGGGGGACAGGAGGGGGCAGCCAGGTGGGGTGAGGTGCTGCTCCCAGGTAACGTGACAGGACAAGAGGAAACAGCCTCAAGTGGTGCCAGGGGAGGTTTAGGTTTCATAGGGGGAAAATTCCTCCTGAGAAAGGCTGTCCAGCCTGGCACAGGCTGCCCAGGGCAGGGTGGGGTCCCTGCTCTTCCTTTGCTGCTCCCAGGGCTTCTCATCCCACAGTTTCTCAGTCAGAGATCTCGTGGTGAATGAGAGTTTTAAGGTGGCTCAAAGAACCCTCGGCAAAGGCATCGACAAAAGGAAGTTTTATATAAAAGCCAAAATCAACCCAAAAATTATCTACGTGGAATGAGGGGGTTGAAGGGTAAGGATAGGAAAGGATACAAAGGAATAAGGGAGACCCTCCCACCAAGGGAACCCCCTTTGCTAAACTGGGCCCTGGACTTGAACGACATTTCAGGCCTAAAGGTTTAACAACACTTCAACTTAACAGCACTGAATCAAGAGCTTAAGTTAAACTATTTAACAACAGATTCATATGGAATTTCCTGTAGCACAACAGTAACTCACGTACAGGCCTGATGTAGGAATCAAAAGGACTTAAGAATCTGAGAGCAATATTCCTGGGACATTTGCTGCAGCACATTCACACTCGCACACACACAGAGCTAAAGACTTTGTACAGGTGTGCACAGGTGCAGACACAGGTGTGTGTACAGCACATGTACAAGGTGTGTACAAGTGAATGTACAGGTTTATACCTGTGAAAAATCCCCCTCGAGCTCAGGGAAGGACTCACGTCGGTGCCTTTGCATCTTCCCGAGGGGTGAAGGGCTGAGCAGGGGATCAGCCCAGGCTCCTGGTCCTCCCAGTGCAGCAAACGGGAGAGTTCCCTGGCTCTGAGAGGCCCCATCTGAGGCAGATGCTGGGCACTGGGGTCCAGAAGAGCTCCAAGGGTCTCCCCCGGGAGGGCTCTTTACAGGGTCACAAGAGACAGGACTTTATTTATTGGTGTCATTTTCCATCCCGGCCACAATTCAGGGCAGGAACTTCCTTTCAAAGTTAAATAACGAGAATGTTGTTGCACTTGGGTTGTTCTTCAGGCAACAAAAATCACTTCCCAAGGCTGTTTGTTAAAGCAGGAGCTCATTATCCAGCACGAGTTCCTGGGAACAGACAGGGTTTCTGACAAGCTTGAGAGCAGCTCGGCACAGGTGCTGTTTGTCGAGGTCTGATGAGCATTTCTGAGACCACAGAGCAGCCCAAGAGGGGTGGGGGG